AAGCATCTAGTGGTAATGCATCAGTATTTGAAATGCAAAAGGTCATCTCACGTTGTCCATCTACTATTTGTTATAACTCTCCATTGCTACAGAGCAAGGGCCTTAGCACTTTTTAAAGATACAATTTACATTAATATTTTGGCATATTGTTCTCAATATAGACATTGATGAAGTTGACGGCTCAATGTAGCGAACAGGGTTTTAAGCTTGAGGTTAGTGCACCAATTAATATGCAAAAATCTTTGTCACAATCTTTGTCACAATTTATTATTCATTTGGTTTAAATTGTGAGGAATTGTTTTAGTTTCACGTATTGAGAATAGGTCGATTAAACAAGAAAAGAGGGAAGCGTTGGGATGAGAAGTTGAACTTCACAATTGTACTTTTAGGCCAATGTATTATCTTATATTTCGATAGTTGGACTTGTTAATATGTAGTAATATAAGTTTCATATTAAGTAAAAAATCGATAGTAGTATTACTTTTTGTTTAGTAAGGATTTTATTTCTTTAATTTGTAAAAAGATTTGCATCACTAAGTGAATGATATTTGAAATTATGTTTTCGTGGTTGATCTCAAATTATAATTGCGTTTGAACTTTGAATGCTATGGGTTTGTATGTGAATTATGGAATGATTGCTGTTAGAACAATATCAATGGACAATGGTGTATGAATCGTAGCTATAGCAAAATATTACAAAAAATAGGCCTAGGTCTATACTAACGGAAAATATAATTAGTAACGGTTAATATTGTATTGGTATAAGCTAATGAGTTATTCCCACGGTAGGGAAATATGTTGGTATTGGTCTATACCGACGACGACAATGGTATAGCCAAAAGATATCTATACCAACATAAATATATATCTATACCAACAGAAATATTTCTGTTGCACAATCATATGATTGTGCATTTGGAGATCCATTTTTGCTCATAACTCAAATTTGGGATATTGTATTTTATTTGTGAGACTAGATTAGAGTTCGCTTGGTAGGTATGACTATCTATATCAATTTTGAGCTGCCGGGAATGAGTTTTGGGGGCTGATTTGTAGCTGGTTGGAATCTAAGGACTGAATATTCCAACAAAAACATAAATTCGCACTAATAGTCAAGACATTCCTATGGTATCAATGTCTTGTTGTATATTGTACAAAAGCAAACTTCTCTTTGCTCTTCACATACTAAATTCTTAGAGGCACTCATCCTTGCAAAAATGGTGTGAGACTGTGCATCACACAAGTTGATCCAGGATGAGTGTCGATTGGACCTAAAAAGTATTCTCACCATCCCGCTAAAATTGTTTCATATTTATGTTTTTTTCTGTTTCACTAAAATTGTCTCATATCGAATTTGTTAAAGCTAAATTTATGTGATTTTAAAGCATTTTTACTTATTCCTACTTAATCAACACAATAACAATCACATAAACTTATATTTCTTAATAATGATGTCACATCCTAATGTTAGTGGTATAAAAGTAGTAAAAAAATAGTCAACACACAGCATACAAAGTCATATAGCTTCAAAATTAAAGTTTAAGCTTTGTAAAGTTTAAGAGTGAATGCTCCATTAGACCATTACAAATTTACAAAGACATATAGCTTCACAGTTAACGTACACTAAGAGCATGTTTGGTTGGCATAAGTCACTAACTTCTAGCTTCTGTACTATTTAGAAAGTCTTTAAAAGCTTCTAGCTGTATGTTTGGCATGTCAAATTTTAAGAGCTTTTTAAAAAATAAAAGATCTTTTTTGAGATGCTACAGTGAGTAGCATCTGGAAAAAGTCTGTAGCTTTCAGTATTAATTTGTCTTAACAACTTGTATACCAAACAGAACTAAATCAAACAGTTAGCTTTTTATTAAATAGTTACCACCTTTTGTTTTTAAGCTCTTTTCAGTCACAAAAAGCCAACAAATACTAAAAACCTCATAAAAGTGTCTTTTCAGCTAGTTGTGCCAAACATACCCTAATACGGAATACGAAGTATACGACATCGTATGTGTAAACGTCTTCGCGGACGTGAAGCACAAAGATACTGTTATTGCTTTAATTTTGACTAAATGACATGATTTCATATGATGAACCAAACCTTCTTTAATTTCACCAAAAAAAATTGTTGGTCACTTTTACCCTTGAAAATATGTTGTGTAGCACCCCGATGTAAAAGAGGAATACAGCCGTACGTCTTGCCTATTTAATGATCTAGTTTTTTCCGATTGTAATCTACTACGTATATTTTATTGAGGTATGAATTATAATAAAGATAAAATTCTTCTAAATAAGAGTAAAAACGTTTTGAAATTTCAAAACATGATTATCATGTTTTTATTTCCTGAATATGAGTAAATTTCTGCCAAGTTTGACATTACTACACTTTAAACATATCTTTTTTTTTCAAACTTGACTGATTACTCTTATTCAGGGAATAAAAACATAATAGTCCTATTTTGAATTTTAAAATGTTTTTACTCCTATATCGTGCAATTTCTGCATAACAAAACTATACCAAAAAGTCATAGGGAAATATAAAAGTCATAAAATTTCATAAAGAACTAGTAAACTCACCCGTGCGATGCACGGTTTGAGAATTTTTCTTTTAAATTTATGTGTGTTTAGTAATTCAAATCACACTATCAATTGATGACAACATCTATCTTCATGTAATACTGATATATATCAAAGCATTAAACGAAACACACTTATAATGTTATGGTCAAAATGAGATTACTAAGAATTACTTGAATGATAAAAAACATCCAACAAATACGTTGTAACCATAACATTGTAAATGTGCATTGAAATCGATGTGCTCATAATACTACAACTTTACTTTTCGGTACTTCTTATTGGCCTCCATCCATGCTGTAAACATATTGTCCTTAACTGAACATGCCTGAATCACTGAACTCAGAAGTTGATCATCGCCAAAGACAACACTTTGTTTTTTCGGCAAATAGAAGCTCAAATGTTCAACTGCCGGGGTCTTATATTGAATTTCAAACCCAAATATGCGGCAAGCAGCCTTGCACGCAGAAATGTATCTACAGTCATAGTACATTTGTATCGCATCGAATGATCATGCATCACACGGTTGGTGATTTCTTTCCTAAAAATGTACTCCGTACATAACTACACAATACATGTACTATTGAAAGAGTCCCACGTTATAGGAAATGCGTTGAACGCTCATGTGATGCACGATTGGTGAAATTCCACATGTGTAGTTAGTTTTAATCAAAATTATTTTGAAATAAAACTAAACTTGTAATTTTAATTGAATATAACTAAAAAAGTTATACTATATAATATATAAAGTTATACTATTTAAAGTTTTTATAGTATGTGTCACCAGGGGCGTAGCTAGGATTGAAGGTTGGGATGGGCCGGTACAAAGAATTTTTCAGATAATTTTTTTCCACATAAATTTTTACACTAAAAATACAAAAAAAATTCAAATTTGGGGCGGGCCGTAGCCCGGTTGGCCACCCCTCTACCTCCGCCCTTGTGTATCACGCACTATAATGTTGATTAGTTATTATTAACCCAACCACACAAAGTTGAATATGACTAAAAAGGAATTTTCAACAACAAAACCAATGCGCCACAATAACTGCTAATATTTGAAGTTGTTAATAGGAAATGCTTTGGAATCAACACATTTTAGCTCGCACTAACTTATGTCAAAATCATTTCTTTTAGTAAAATGTTTTGCTAGTAAATCATCTTGCGATGAGCAAATGATTTTACCATTTTTTTCATGTTCAAAGGTTTATTAAATTAATTGAAGGTAATTTTTTTATAATGATCAAGTGATAAGGTGACTATAATTTACACGAATTTTGCATTTTTTAGACGAATTGTCTCTCTAAATAGTTAAAATAAGGAAGTAAAATATGTGAAAGTGTGTTATGTTATTCTTGAATTATACTTGAATCTAAATTTGTGGGAGAAATGTGCAAATAGGTGCTTCTACTATTTCTACTATATATCCAAGTATGGTCTGGTCTGGTTTGTTTGGTTTGGTCTGAAACTGAAATAAGTCTACGTATGAACATCTCAAGTAATACGATGACTGTGCATTTATACGAATTGCATTTTTACACGAATTGCCCGGGTGAATTGGCAAATCAGGGGGTGCAAATGTGTGAAAGTGTGTTATGACACTATTAAACAATACTCAAATATGAATTTGTGAGACAATGTTAGTTGAGTCAGAACATGAAAGTAATGTTATCAGGGGGTTCGTGAAATTAGCCGGGTAGTCCGAACATACATATTCACTCTTTCTTAACTATTCTTTCGCTTTTATATTAGAATATATTGCATTTTTTTACACGAATTGCCCGGTAAATTGGCAAATCAGGGGTGTGAAAGTGTTATGCCATTATTAAACAATACTCAAATACGTTGTATGAATTTGTGAGAAAATGTAACTTGAGTCCGTCTATGAAAAGTAATGCTATCATTTAAGCATAATAACTTCCGAAACACATTCAATGGGTAACATCTATAGTACTACGGTTTTTAATTCAAAAATAAGTACAACTCAAGGTTTGAAACATTAAAAATACATCAGTCTTAGACTCTTAGAGCATCTCCAATGGTAGAATCTGCACGGTGCACATGTGGCATAAGAGATAACCACATAAATATTAATAAATAAATTCTTTCTCTCCTTATTTGAATGATTTTCTACATTTTTGGTAAGTTTTTCTCCACAATGTCAAGGAGACCGTCTAGATATTGACATTGCAGTTGACATTGCAGGGAAATACATACCAAAATTGTATAAAATCATTCAAATAAGGAGAGATATAGTTTATTTGCTAATATTTATGTGGTTGTTTCTCATGCCACATGTGCACCGTGCACATTCTACCATTGGAGATGCTCTTAGATGTCATAGTAGTGACCAAAATGAAATAATGTTTAATTGGGGACAAATCCAGGCCAAGCCAGGCCACAAAAAGTTGATAGCATGTAACGGGCCACTGAGCCACTCCCTGTTATCCCAATTCAGCCCTATTCCACTCTAAGATGCGGTCCATTTCAGCCTTGTAGGAGTTGTAGCTTTCTGAAATACAGCTCAAGATAGCAGCCATTCTCTTATAACACTCCAGCCCTAAATAAAATACTCAAACCTCAAGCCAAAAGATTTAAAGAATGGTGGATCATTCAAAGGTATAAGTTTTGGATCTTATTTCAATTTTGTATGGTTCTCCACCCCAAAATTATCCTAACCTAAACCGTCACGCAGCCATCGACGAACAATCCAGCTGAAAACCGCATTAGTCTGGTCGCCAATGTTCATACTTCATAGACATCGACAAAATAACTTTCAATCGCATGAACAACTCTTGAAGCGACAACTGTAAGTAAATTGGTACTCCGCTACAAATCTGTGGTTCCTTGATACTTTTAAATGTCTTGTACAATACTTTTCACTTAAATAAAAAATCTGATAAAATATACGGAGTAGAGTATATTTTTCAAATTGTGATTCTGTAAACAGACTTTTGATCATGCATTAAATTACGTTATTTACTATAAACAGTTAAAAAATCAATTAACACATAATATAGAGTATTATAGTGATATTTTTAGGCATCACATCGTATATATTGATCTAAAATAAATGTACTTAAATGAAATTTTCTTATTCAATAACTTATTTTGATAACTATTCACAAAATAATTTACTTCCTAAAAAACATTTTTGCAACTCAACAAATTTAAAAGAAGACTATCCACTCTCAACATAGATGCATGTATAGAATAAAGTAGCTAGATTTTATTAAAAGATCAGAATTTACAAAGATTGGAGTTAGGGAGGGCTAGAGCCTTGCCCCAATATTAAAATGAAACAAAAAGAAACCTGGCCCAAGAAACCATTTGGTGGGCCTGAGTTTTAGAGGCAGAGTCCGTCCAAGAGTAGGGAATAAGTTCTGATCTGAACATAGTGAGGCCAAATATTTCGAATAGCCCAGGTTATTGCTTTTAGAGAGAGATGAAGTTTCTGGAGTGCTCGAGCTCTCGTTCGGCATCGCGAGAGGGCCTCGCCTTTTGGCAGTCTTCTTGCTCGCGGTGTTAGAGCGTGGATGGTTGTCATCTTTCCGTGTGTCAAGGTCCGAGATACAGAGATTCCATAAGGTTGGACACATGAATGTTTCGTCCGGCTTACTGGTCGGAGGGCTCTCTCGGACATGGGTCTCCTGTGGTGGATCTTGGTGCTCAGGTATAGTTGTTTCCCTGATAGGTGTATTTGAGTTCTGATTTCTCTAATGTTCGTTGTTGATGTGCTGAGACCTTTTATTTTAAATCTTCCATATAAATTTTGAAATAGATTACCTGACAAATCACTACAATTAGGAGCACAAGCAGTTATAGTATTGTTGGAATACAACACTGTCTTTCATAAGTTTATATATCTATCATAAATCATTGATTTATTACATTCTAAACTGATTGTGTTTTCATAGAATGTCAATTTGGATGCAGAACTGAATTTTATTTAAAAGATGATTTTTTAAACTTCATTTGTTTTGTGTCCAAAAACTCCAAACTTGATTTTTTTGAACTGTTTCATCTTTTTATAATTCTGTACAAATGGCCCATTTTCAACAAATTTCTTGTACCTCATTGTGCTTGTATTGTTCTTACTTGAAAAAATCATATGAAATATTATACAAATAGGTTAAGTTAAATGCAATAGTTACCAAACATTTTCAGGAACTATAGTTCTTTGCATAAACACACACTTTTGACTTGTTGAGAAACTAAAGAATTTACCCGTACTCTTGAGCTGCAGATGAGGAAACACCCATACTTATTAATAAACACACTTTTGACAATCTAAAGAATTTACACTTACTCTTGTGCTTTTGTGCTGCAGATGATTTCTGAGGAACAATTTGCCACAAATAAGAGGAGTTATTTATACTGGTGTTGTGAAGGAATAGTGCAGGGCAAATGCGAGCCAGTTGTTTCCATACCGCACAGTAGATTGTCAGGGAAAAATATTTGTTTTGATATTGAAGATATTGATAACAAATACTCCGTATATTTCACTCTGCCCACCTCCACTTTTGACCAATAGTAATTCCTCAATCCAAAAGTATTGAGTTGTCCAAATAGTGTCAATAATCCTCACCTCCCATATCAACCAATAGGAATTGTTTTAGCAAATAGTATTATTAACAGTGCTCACCTCCTATATCAACCAATAGAAATGGTTGGACATCAAGATTGTCTAAAACGTGACCTCCAATATTTTTTCCAAATATTTGTTTTCCATTTTTTTTTGACAAATAACCAAATGAGTCATTGATGTTGACCTTTTTTAGCGGGAACACTATTCACAAAAAAAGTGTTCCTTTATATATTAATAGATAGATTTATATTGCAGGGTCAAAACATAAAATAAAATTTCATTATACTACGTATACTTGTACTTTACTAATTATAAAGAGATAATTACCCTAGGTATGACTAAAACTTCCTCACTTTCTCAATCTATGACCTAACTAGTTTTTTCCCCAAAATAATATTTAAATATACAAAATCTAATTAATTTCGTCATTAATTAATTAATTAATAATTTTTATGGACTGATTTACCCTTTAGGTTATATCTATAAAACTCTAACCTTCTATTCTTAATTCCAACCCTAGCGTTTCAGTCTTCCGCCTCCACAGATCCACCCACCCTGCGCCCCGCCCACCCCCTGCAGCCGCTCGATGGTTTGCCGCCATCCAGAAGCACAATCACCGGCACTGGTGCATCAAGGCGCTTGCTTGCCCGACCATCCCCAACATTAGGCTTGCTCGCTGCAGCCACTTTCAGATCGACACCAGCGCCCAGCCGCGGTCCATAGTGCGTTGCCGCCGGTTCGAGCCATGCTTGCCGCCGCCTTCAGTTTTGCACCATCAAGGACTCTATCGAAGAGGTAGGCTCGTCGCTATTCGTGGATGAAATCCCTGCAAGAATCTTTTTTATGTGGATGAGGATTTTCTTTAGTGGACCATGACATGGCATGGTTTTGTTCATCCACTACAAAAAAACACGGAGTTAGTCACGGATTTAGTCACGGACCGTAGTATAAAAAATCCGTGACTAACTCCGCTAGTCACGGACTTTGTCCGTGACTAAATCCGTGACTGTTTGGGCGTGACTAATTCTAGTCACGGTCATTTTATCCGTGACTTAGCGTAGTCACGGCTTAGTCACGGACCGTTTCCGTGACTAACTTGTCACCGGAATAACCACACCGGCGACTTAGTCACGGGCTTTTTCCGTGACTAATATAGTCACGGACAAATCCGTGACTAAACTTTGAAATTTAAAAAAATGAACCGCCAATAGTTACGGTTTTAATTTTCAAATTTCAAATTTTAGTCACGGACTTGATCCGTGACTACTTTTTTATTTTTTAAAAAAAATAAATTTGAAAAATAACTTTTTACAAAATCGGTCTAGACTTTAGTCACGGCTCGGATCCGTGACTAAAGTTTTTTTTTTTTAAAAAATTTTTTTTTTTGTTTTATAAAAAAAATAAATTTTTTTTTAATTATTCTTTAGAAAAGTTTATTTTAAAAAATATTTGTAGAATAAAAGTAATAAACAGACTACTAGAACACACATTTCATAACCAAACAGACTGAAATAAAAGTAATAATAAGCACAATAGAATTATAGTAAATAAACAATGTTCAAATAAAAATGTATATCATTTACAGGCTCCTCCGGTTACCATTATGATAATATCTAGAATCATCATATAGGTAATCTTCTTCGGTCTCATATTCTCGGTTGTCTCCAGCTTGGCCTTCTCGATTGCCACCGCGACTGCCTCCTCCGCGACTGCCACCTCCGCGACTGCCACCTGCTTGGCTGCCTCCAGATGTTTGAAACAGGTTGTGAAAATTGATATCCTGAATAGAACCAAATGAAGGCAACCCGGTAGCAGAGTTGGTACGGAAATAACCGCCCATGTGCGGAACTTGAGGTGTCTGCTCGGGGTGCAGTACATACGGCTGAGGCTGAGGCTGATTCCGAATTCCGGCGCTGAGGATCCGTTTCATCTCTTCCAGCCGGGCCCTTGTTTCTTCATCTTTTTTGCGTTGCTCCTCCAAGGCGCGCTGCTGCTCAGCCAAGGCCCGCTGCTGCTCCTCCATCTCCCGCTGCATTTGAGCGATACGCGGATCCTCTCCGCGCCTTGATCGGGAAGATGAAGCACCGCTGCGGTCGTACAAGATCCGTTGCCCCTCAGCCCCCATGCACGGGACCCGGCCCTTGTACACCCCAACTGCCTCAAAGATGGCATCATCCTCCACATCAGAATCAATCTCATCCTCCTGAGTCAAGCCTAATTCTGCCCGCCTCTTCTCAACATTTGTGTTATACTTTGACTACATGTACAAAAATTGTTAATATAATGTTACTCAATTTGATTTTGAATGGAAATAAGTAACAAAATAGTGTTACTTCGATTTTAGCGAGGCGGGGTGGCAGATCGGCATCGGACTCATCGCCGTGCTTTGTCCAGCAGTGCTTGATGACCTTGAGAATTGAGACCTTCTTCTTCTCAGGCCCCGACTACAATTTGGAAAAAAGGCTTAAGATCCATAATTAATTGTTAAAATAAAGGGTTGTAATTGTGTAAAGTTTTTTGAAAAATACTTACAAGATCTTCCTTATGTCTACTCTGAGGTTTGCGGCCCCCATGCCATTGGGTTTCTAAGGCTTTCTCGGACATCCGGTTTTTCTTACCGGATTGACTTCTTGCCAAGAAGTTTGGATCAGAAGACCAGTGACGGACGAGGTTAGCCCACACCTCATCCGAACACCATCCAGGCTTTACCCCGCTCGTTCGGGCACGCCTAAAAGTAGGACGAAGCCAATTTGAAATCCTAGCGTTATACGCTCTAAGAATAGCTGGACCTTGGGCTTCAGTCCATCGAAACCGACCCTTTATAAAAAACAATTAAATTAATTTATCTTTTATCAAATGTTACGTTAATACAATTACGCAGAGAAAATTCATTTTTTTTACCTTGAAGAGGTTCCACCAAAGTTCACGAACCTTGGGGTCTACTTCTGTGTATGCTGCCCAGTTTCCAAGAAAGTGTCCTCCAATTATGACTTTGATTTGGTCCAACACTTCTTGATCGCTTCAGAAAATTAAGATTATTTATTTATTAAAGTTTTGATTACATTATGATACATTGAAAAAATTATTTCACGTTAGATAAAATTCATAGTTACTTACTTCGCAACCATGTGGGGCGTCACCCAAAGCGCATTTTCATTGTTGCGCTCAGCTTCGGTTAAGGGCACATAGTTTGGGCGGGTACGCGATGTTGATTGTTCATTGCTCATCTAAAATATATTAATTTATATTTTTAAATATTAGTCTAATCATTATAGAAGATCAAATTTTTATACATTTATCAATTGAAAATGTGTAAAACATATTAAACTGTGTGTAAGTTTAATATGAGGGGTGGTAATTTTATAAATTGTTATAAAATGTAACATGTTAAACTTTAGGCAAGTTTAAATTTTTTTTTATTAAACTGTTTTTTATCAAACTGTTTTTCATTAAACTGTTTAATAAAAAAACAGTATATTGTTAATGTGTTTTTAATAATCTATATTTTATATTTAACTTCGAAAAACAGTTTAGACTGTCTTAATTAATATTTTATAATTAACATGTTAAACTTTTTTGGAAGTTTAACATGAGGGGATATTTTTGAATGTTAGTATGATCATAATAGAAGATCAAATTTTTATACAAGTTTTATCAATTAAAAATGTGTAAAACATTTATTTTCGTACATGTTAAAACATATATAAAACAGTTTTATATAAACAGTTTTATAAAAAACTGTTTTTTTATTATTTCACTTTTTAATAAAAATTGTTGAATAAAAAATCTGTTTTTCATAAAAAATGAAAAACAGATTGTTTTAAACTTTAAAAATGATTAATATTTCACTTTTTAATAATCTGTTAATATTTTATTTTGGAAAGCAGTTTTTATTGTTTTTTATTAAAATCTGATTTTATTTGATTGCAATCTGTTAATATTATACTGTTTTTTAAACTGTTTTTTATTAAATTGTTTTTTATCAAACTGTTTTTTTTAAACTGTTTTTTTTGTCAAACTGTTTTTCATTAAACTGTTTAATAAAAAACAGTATATTATTAAACTGTTTTTTATAATATATATTTTATATTTTATTTCGGAAAATAGTTTTTAATGTCTAAATTAATATTTTGGACCTAACATGTTAAACTTTTTTGGAACTTTGACATGAGGGTGTATTTTTTAAATAATTCGGAAATAATAAATTTGATTGATGATAAAATAATAATAATCCTAACAATGTCTAAATAATTCATGCATAAGTCCGAAATTAAATCATGCATTTGATCGAAAAAACATGCATGTTGTTTAACCTAAAATTAAATCATATTTAGGCATGCATATTAAACTTATACACAAAAAATCAAATTGAATCAAACTATATCTAAAGCATGCGTATTAGAAATCAAACAAAAAAGAAAAAATAAATTTTAACAACTTTGAGCATGCAAATTAATATTGTAATTCGAAATTAAAACAAAACTAATAATCGTGGAGAGATTAATATTGAGCATGCAAATTAATATTTTAATGTGAAATTAATATTACAATATTACTAAATTAATATTGTAATGCGAACATAATAATAACATGCATTTGTGTGTATAAACGTAAACACATATACACATATAATCATATTAAATGTATATACACATAAATATGTAATTGTAGAATACATCATTAGGGCATTCAATTATAAACATGCATTTGAGTACATAAACATGCATTTGTGTGTAAAAAATTAATTGAGAAAACATAACCTTGATGTGGAGAGAGAGGTGCGAAAAAAAGGAGTGGTGGACGGTGGCGGTGAACGGCGGCAACCGGCGGCGGACAACGGCAGTGCACGGAGGACGGCGGCGGCGCTGCACTCAGGACGGCGGCGGCGCTGCACTCAGGACGGCGGCGGTGGAAGGGGAAGTTAGAAGGGAAAGAGTT